AGCTTCAGCATCACCTCCTTCACAAGGTCAGAGGAGGGTGAGAAGATGAGGATGTCATCCACATACACCACCATGAAGCTCCTCTGCTCCCCCTCGCCAAGCATGAACAAGGAGTGATCGGCCGTTGAGGGAGTGAAGCCGATCTCCTCCAAAACTTCTCGCAACTTCAAGTACCACTGCCTAGGAGCCTGCTTCAGCCCATAGAGGGCCTTCTTCAGCTTAAAAACTCTGCCACTACCATCATCAAACCCCTCTGGCTGCGCCAAGAAAATATCTTCCTCAAGAATGCCGTTGAGGAACGCGGTTATCACGTCCATTTGCTTTACTACCCATCCTTTGATGGCGGCTCCCGCGAATAGGGTTCGCAGCGTCGTCGGCTTCACCACAGGGGCAAACAGCTCCTTGAAGTCCACCTTCTCCTTCTGCTGGTACCCCTTGGCTACAAGCCTAGACTTGTAGCGCTCGATCTTGCCGTCGGCGTCCGACTTGATCTTGAAGAGCCACTTGGACGTAATCGCCTTACGTCCTTCCGGTAGCTCCACCAATTCCCACGTGTCGTTCTCCTCAATGCTCTTCAGCTCACTCTCCATGGCCTTCTTCCACTCCTCAGCATCACTACTCTCCAAGGCCTCCTTGAGAGTTGCTGGTTCTCCCGGCATCTCCACCGGAGAGAAGAACACGTAAGCACACTCCTCGTAGTCACTTTCCTCGTCGTCTCCGACCATCATTGCCGCTCCGGCCAGGGCTGACTTGCCCTACTTTCCCGGTGCATCATAGGTCAGCCTATTTGGGGCTTGAACTCTCCTCTTGCCCCTTCCTTCCTCCTCAGCTGCAGGGACTTGAAGGCCTTGGCGTTGCTGCAGGGTGACTCGGATCCGTGGAGCACTTGTAGCGCGTGAAGGAAGTGTCGATGCACGCTCGCTCACTTGCTGCACCTCCTCCTCTTCTTCCTCTGCATCCTTGGCCTCCTCTCCCCCGTTCACAAGGGAAGACTGCCTTGTGGTAGTGCTGCCGCTGCTCAGCTCCAAAGGCAGCTCCACGTGCTCCAGGCCGGAACTCTTCACCTCCCCAAACCGCATGCCTATCTTTGCCTCGTTCTCCGCCTTCCAGTCCCTGTACATGAGGTTCTTCATGAACTTGCAGTCCCTGCTCACCATGAACTTCTTGGTGAATGGGTCCCAAAGAAGCCACCCCTTGCTGTTTTGAGCCATGCCCAAGTGCACGGCCCATATCGCCTTGGCACCAAGCTTGTTGTGCCGAAGATGCTTAGGTACGAGCGCCAAGCACATGCACCCGAACACCCGAAGCATATCCACCTTTGGCTTCCTTCCAATCCACTCCACATAGGGCACCCATTTGTCTGCTCCCACATGAGTCAATGCTCTGTTCTTGGCCACACACGCACTCCGCACCGCATCAGGCCAGAAGTAGTCGGGTAGCCCGGCTTCGATGAGCAACCCGCGTGCCGTCTCCGTGATTGTGCGGTTCGCTCGCTCGGCGATGCCGTTTATTGCAGGGGAGTATGGCATGGTGAGGGAGTGCCTTATCCCATTCTTCTTCAGCCACAATCCGAACTCCTTGCTCAGGAACTCTCCCCCTCGATCGGTGCGGATTGACTTGACTAGCCGGTCTTGTTGCCGCTCCACCATCGGCAACCAATCGGTATTCACAGTTTCAGCCACGTCGCTCTTCTTGGAGAGCACATACACCCAAGTCATGCGGGTGTAGACGTCGACAATGGTGAGGAAATACTCAGCTCCAGCAGCTCCAAGCTTCAGGGGGCCCACCACGTCCATCACCACCTCATCAAGTGGTGCCTTAGCCGTTGCCTCCGAACTCGAGAATGGGAAACGAGTGAACTTGGCTTGATTGCACGTCGGGCAGCCAAGTACCTCATCGGGCTCCCCCTTCACACGTATGCCAGCAACCATCTCAGTCTTCACTAGCTGCTGCAAGATGGGCAGGGCCACATGCCCCATTCGCCGATGCAAGGTGGGCCAATCACACTCCCCCGTAGCCGAAGTTGGATTGGAGAATGCCGCGCTCGCAATAGCGCCCCACATACTCTCTCCGTAGTCCTCCTCCGCTGCTGCCTTGGGGTTCTCCTCACCCTTATGCTGCTCCTTGGCTGCTGCACCATTCTCCTTAGGATCACCAAGCTTGCTGGTCCCTCCAGGTTTGCTCTTCTTGAGCTCGTTCTCCTTGGCACGATCGTTCGCGCCATAGCCGCTACCAACCGCTTCGCCCTTGGTGCTGATGCTTGCTGCCACTTGCCTCTCCTTAGGCATGGGGACCACAGGGATCTGCAACATCTTGTTGTAGACATCCCTATCTTCGTGAAGGTCCCATAGAATCCGCTCGCCAATCCTTGTAGTGTAGGTCTTGGCTCCCTTCGAGTTCGTGTCCATGCTGGTCTTTGTTAATCGCCGCGCGGAAATCAGGTTCGCAGCAAGGCTGGCCACCCAAAGCACGTTCTTGAGGCCCACCATCTTTCCATCAGCACCCTTGAACATGGCCTTGCCCATGCCTTTCACCTCTGCTCGCTGCCCCAAAGACGATGTGACATGCTTCACCGGTGACGGTTCAAGTTCGGTGAGCAAGTCCGCGCGAGGTGTCATGGTATAGGTAGCGCCGCTATGGATCACCCAATAGTCCAAGGGGTGTAGGGTGACCTTTCCCACAGCTGCAGGCTCTTCAAAGTCTTCATCCTTCTCTGGTGCAGCCGGTGCTTGCGTTGACACAAAGTAGAATTGACCCTGGTACCGATCGCCGCTCGGGTCCTTGTCGTTATCTTCGCTCTTCATGTTTGCAGCTCCACTTCTGCGACCGCCACGGCCTCCACGGCCTCTTCCTCTCCCTCCTCCTGCTCCTCTACCCTCCTGGCCTTGAGCAGGGGTCAAACCATCAGGGATTTTGTAGCAATCGCGCCACATGTGTCCGCTCTTGTGGCAAAAGTGGCACTCGCCGTCGAATTGGCCGCGACCGCGTCCGTAGCTCTTGTCGTCGCTGCCGTAACCGCCATTCTCGCGGCCGCTATTGAAGTTGTTGCTGCCAAATCTGCCTCCCCCTCGTCCTCTGCATCTTCCACGGCCGTACCCCCAGCCGATGCTTGCTGCCCCGGCGCCATCCGCACTCGCCAACTCACGGCGGCGAAAATCCTCTTGGAGGATTGCTCGCTTCACATCTTCGAGCGAGAGGCGGGGCAGATCTCGGTTGAGGTTGATGATGAGCGAGGACCATGACTCTGGGAGTAAGGCCAGCAACTTGGTCTTCTTCTGGAGCTCACTGTAGTTCAAATCAGCTCCCTCAAGCCGCGTCAACAAGTCGAAGAATTTCTGCACCCCTTCTTCAACCGCTTCATCCTCGTCAATTCGTAGTGTCGCCATTTGCCGTTCCAACACCACTGCTACCGCCGCTGTTGCAGGAGCGTGTACACCCTTCAGAGCAGCCCATGCCTTTGGTCCCTTCTCTGGTTCACGCTGGAATGGCTTGATGTGACGGATTTGGCTGCTCCCCAACGCTTGCCCAAGTAGGAGGTAGCCTTGTGCGCTCTTCCGCACCCACGGGCTCTTCTCCGGGTCGTTCTCGGGACGCATCACCTCCAGCAGGTCATAGTGGTCAAACACGTTCTCCATTCTGAAGGACCACTCAGCAAAGTTGTCACCGTTGAACTTGTCAAGCCCGAACACTCTTGGTTCATCCCTAGAAGGTCCAAGAGTAGGTTGCACGGGCCCCATGGCTGAATCACGGGGTTGACCTTGTGTTTGGGGTCCTCCACTGCCTCCAGCACCTCTGTCACCCCTTTCTTCAGGTCCAGCCATCGTCGTAGTTGCTCCAAGGCGCTCTGATACCACTTGTTATAGTCAGAGTAGGCTTCAATGTGCCTAAAACGAAAGATAGAGTGCACAGTCGGATTTCTGCACAGCGGCTTTAAACGTTCATAGCGTTCTGGTCACAGCTTAAAATGGCCTGATTTAAATTGGATCTGGAGCGTCTTTACGCCGCCTACAATACGAAATTTAGATCGCACGAGTTCACGAAGTATTGACGACACAGCGTCGGTTTGAACAAACGGCACTATGACAGCCACTATAGTCTCAGAACACAAATTAGGAAGAGTTACGAGTTGGGAATGACTCCCAGCTCCTACAAACCCCAAGAGCCAAGGTACAGTGATCTGGAACAGTGCCACACTGTCCCCAACCAAGAAGGGTCTCTAAACTACCCTCCACAAGGGTCTACACCAACATAAATGTTACACTACACATTGCAATGTAACTATCTTCAACATCTTGAAGTGTACCCTTTTGGCGAGCTTCGAAATTACTTGAGGCTTGACACCAAGGCTCGGGTTCTTCATCACAAATTCATCCTTGAGTTCTTGATGGGTCTGCTGAACACACCTGCGACACGCCGAACATTCGACACACGACAAAATAGAAACCGCGCACGGGACACACGACAAAATAGAAAGCGCGCGCGAGACACAAATGACCGCGTAACACGCGACTAGCGATAACTCGCTATTGACTCGACACACACACACACTCGACATCATGACTCTTCATGAACACACTATTATAAGCATGAAATATATATATTATTTCATGCCCTCATTCCATTCCATGCACACACGCATGCACGCACACGGACAACAAGCCGAGTGCAAACCATAGGGTTGCACCAACAGCTTCAAAGCCGCGGTGCGAGCCTGCTACCGCAGGTGGTTCATGCAACGTGGCATCAACCTGAGGACGCCAAGAGGTGAGTTGCTGAACCACACGCCTTCATCCCTTGAATCTGCACGTTCATGCCTTGTATCTGCCCTCTGCGCCGTTGAATCTGCCCTCATCCCTTCCATAACTCACCTTCTCTTGAAACTGCCATCTCACCCCCCCACAGGGAACCTGAGGAGGCCTCCGCACCAGGGTGGTGCTGCAGTGAATTGCGGAGGCGTGGGAGCACGTGCCGCGCGAGATCATCCTCAAGGCGTTCAAGACATGCGGCATCTCGAGCAACCTCGACAGGACAGAGAATCGCTTGGTGATGTCTCACATGCGCGAGAGGAGCAGCACCGACGTGTCTGAAGACATGACTCTACGGGGGAGCACAGGTGACAACATGCGCCTTCTTGGGCAGGCTTCTTGGGGGAAGGGGGGGGGGGGGGGGGGGGGGGGGGGGGGAGGAGGAGGAGGAGGAGGAGGAGGAGGAGGAGGAGGAGGAGGAGGAGGAGGAGGAGGAGGAGGAGGAGGAGGAGGAGGAGGAGGAGGTGCAGGCCGAGTGCGTCAGGGAGGTCAGCGTGGCAACTGGGCTGGAGATGTTGTATGCAGAGACCCCCTGCTACCGTGGGGCTGTGGCCCTGGCTGATCGCCTCGTAGAGCCGAAAAATACGCTCAAGCACGTCTGGAGGGTGCCAGACTTCGAAGCGCAGGAGCCCTCTTCTGCTAGTGCAGATGAAGGTGAGGGCGTGGCCGAGGCAGACTAGGTAGATACAGTAGAAATGGCATGCGTATGTCGTGCATGTGCCCTGTGATGCAGTAAAACCGTTAAGAATACCCCTCCCGTTTATAAGAAAACCCCTAAACCCCTGACCATTTATTATACATGTATGTGTAAAATCGTACACACACTTGGGTCTCTTATAACCAGAACATCCAATTGTAAGAATCTACCCTACTTAAAGACACCCCTGTCTACAATTCGACACTGTCTTATATCCGGGCAATGACGGCAGTTCATCTGAATTTTCGGATTCTTTGTTGTATATAATCTGAAATTTCAGATATCGGGGAGTTTTTTGTATGACAAGTTGGCATGGCACATGCCCTCGCCCTGCAGGGCAGGGCGGCAAGGGGAGGGGGGGGAGGGACCCTAATCCCCAAGCCCCCACCCCACCGCTGTGACCTGGGGTATGCGAGCGAGATGTAGTGGGCTGCGGGTGGCACTGGCACTCGAGGAATACTGGTTGGTTGACCCTCCTCTGGCCCGCAAAACAGAGGTCAACTCTTCGATACCCCTCACAAACTTCCCACCGCCCAACAGAGTGACTCGATAACGGTCGGAAAATAAATCTGCGCGTTAGAAAACACAACGTCTGAAATTTTACAGACAGTCAGAAAAAAAAACCCCAGTCTGATTTTCAGATGGCTCTAGAAAATATCAAAGTCCCTGGCTATGACGACTGTACTGCACACTCGAGGCCCTAAAATATCAGGGTTACCCTTTTTGCCCTTTATGGTGGCCGTTTTTTGGAGTTACCCTTTCCCAGACAGTGTACTAGGATTTTTACCCTTTGTTAAAAAGTGTGGTTTTTTTTTTTCCCCTTTGAAAAGCAGGATACGGATTTTGTTTCCGTGACTGTACAGGGTACGCTCACAGTTACACTGATACAGGATCCTCTGTACCAAGGATTTTCCTAGCGATTACGTACAGTGGGCCGCAAAATACTCCTACACGTGGGTTGAGATAACTTCCGCCGCTAGGAATTGAACCTACAACCTTACAAATCGAAGCTACGCATCTGACCAGCTTAGACACTTCGAGGTTGTATTTAAGCACTTGTTAGTCTAATTAATGGCAAACAGTGTACCATAAATATTACCCTGTGTAATGAAAAATCCTTTTCATTACTTCGCGCCCCTGTTTACCGCGTACACTACTATTCCCGCCAACGTAAACCGTTACCACTCGCGACACTCGCCTCGACCACTGTTCTCGCCACTGTTCACATCGCGACCCAACCTCACGACTCGGTTGGTAACCCGCGCTCTGATCCTCCGCCTCGATAATTCACAACCTCGGCGCCAGGCCCGTCGCGCACCCCACATTTCGCGCGTTACCGTTACCACGCTAGTTCGCTATATAACATTCCTTCGCTCAATGTACTGTATTTGCCCCGATAGTGCAATCTTCGTTCGCTCACTCAATTGCACTCGTAACACCCTGCCACAAACAGAGTAAGTTGTTTTTAACCCTGAATTTGTCAAGCTAGTGAATTTTTACCCTACCAGTCAGGGTAGGCCTGGATTGGCACCCTGATTTCCCAGGGTGGACAAAACCAATTTTGGGCCGTGGCACACTCCTCGGAGAGTCGTGTCACAATCTGAAAAGTCAGGGGACAGTGGCTCATATGTCTAATCAGACTAATCAGACTATTTAGTATGATTCGTCTGACTAATCATACTATTTAGTGATAGCGTCATCGCTGGTCCCAGGGTACAGTCATTTTATATGTCGAGGTTACGCAAAAAAAATATTCTTCTTCCCAAATGAATTCATATGACACGCCCCTACGGTAGATTGACCTTGCTATAGTTACCGTACGAAAAGGGGGGTCCTCTGTCAGATTTATATGACAGAGCTACTGTAGGCTATAGTGGGGTAGCACATATGGGGTACAGTTTTCTAGGGTTTGTATTTGTACCCAACTTTCCCTTAGTCATTCCCATTCCTGTTTTCTTTTTCACATGGTATCAGAGCGGGTTCCTACATGGGACCGTTCCTTCCTAAGGGCCCACCATAACGAAATTTTTCTTAGCTGCCCGACGCGCATTGCGCCCCTGCCCTAAATTTTTTTTAGCGCCCCCCCCCCCTAGCGGCCCCTACGCGACCCCTACGCGGCCCCTAGGCGGCCCCTACCCGGCCCCTACGTCGCCCCTGACGCGGCCCCTACGCGGCCTCTGACGCGGCCCCACCGCGGCCCCTGACGTGGCCCCTACGCGGCCCCTGACGCGGCCCCACCGCGGCCCCTGACGCGGCCCCAACGCGGCCCCTGACGCGGCCCCTACGCAGCCCCTGACGCGGCCCCTACGCAGCCCCTGACGCGGCCCCTGCCGCGGCCCCTACCGCGGCCCCTACGCCGCCCCTGACGCCGCCCCTGACGCGGCCCCTGCCGCGGCCCCTGACGAGGCCCCTGACGCGGCCCCTGACGCGGCCCCTGCCGCGGCCCCTGACGAGGCCCCTGACGCGGCCCCTGCCGCGGCCCCTGACGCGGCCCCTGACGCGGCCCCTGCCGCGGCCCCTGCCGCGGCCCCCAACGCGGCCCCTGACACGGCCCCTTCGCCGCCCCTGCCGCGGCCCCTACGCCGCCCCTGACGCGGCCCTCTCCTGCACCTGACGTGGCCCCTAGCGGCCGGCCGCTGCCGTCCCTGAGGCAGCAGCCGCCGCCGTCTCTGCAGCAGCAGTCGCAGCCGAACGGCCGAGCCGCCGAGCCGCCGAGCCGCCCAGCAGCCGAGCCGCCCAGCCGCCGAACCGCCCAGCAGCCGAGCCGCCCAGCAGCCGAGCCACCGAGCCGCCCAGCAGCCGAGCCGCCGAGCCGCCCAGCAACCGAGCCGCCGAGCCGCCGAGCCGCCCAGCAGCCGAGCCGCCGAGCCGCCCTGCAGCCGAGCCACCCGAGCCGCCCTGTCCGGTAAGAGCAGCGCCCCTTTCACAGCACTGCCCTCACCCTACTGTTTGCGCTGCTAGTCTACTCCTGTCATGGCTACCCCTAGTGTCCTCGCTTTTAACGCTGAGGGTCGGGCCATTGACTTTGATGTCTGGATAGATGACCTGCAGCTTTTCTTACAGTGCGACAGGGCAGACGGCCTCTCCCTCTCCCTACACTGGTCCTACTGGAGGTCTTGCTGAGCGTCGTGAGCCTGCGTCCCGCCCTGCGTCGCCTGTCCGTGCTGCGCGCACTAGTGGTCGTGGTTCGCGTCAGCGTCCTCCTCCTGTCCCTGGCACGCACCGGATGTCTCTGCGTCCGTCCACTGCTCCTCTGCGTGCCCCTTTGCCTTCTCCTCCTGAGTCCTCTCTTCCTGCTCTTCCTGACCCGGAGTCGGACTCTCTTCGTGCTGCCAGTCCTACTGTCACACGTCTCCTTGCTACTGTTGTCACTGACCCTTCCTTTGAGTCCACTGCTGCGTCTGCCCTAGTTACTGAGCTCGTCGACTTTGCTGCTCGCTGTCGTCTAGACTACGCTGCTAGTCTTGTTGCTGAGTCTGTCTGTCCTCCGTCCGTCGGGGGTGAGTGTGCCCTTGGCACGGACGTCCTTGAGGACAGGCAGGAGGAGTTCCAGTGTTTGGCTGCTGCTTCACCTCATCTCGTGTCCGTACTGCTTACCCCTGAGGGAGACCCGGATGCACTTGACATCCCGACTCCGCGCTCTTACGCGGAGGCGATAGAGGGTCCCTACTCCTCTCAGTGGCAGGCAGCTATGGACGCAGAGATGGCTTCCTGGAAGTCCACAGGCACCTACGTCGACGAGGTTCCCCCGCCTGGGGCGAACATCGTCAGTGGCATGTGGATTTTCAGGGTGAAGCGGCCGCCGGGTTCTCCGCCTGTCTTCAAGGCGCGTTACGTGGCTCGTGGCTTTAGTCAGCGGCAGGGAGTTGACTACTTTCAGACCTTCTCTCCCACCCCGAAGATGACCACTCTTCGGGTACTGCTGCACGTAGCTGCTCACCGCGACTACGAGCTACACTCTCTTGACTTCAGCACTGCTTTCTTGCGGGGTAGCCTGCACGAGGAGATCTGGCTGCGTCGCCCACCTGGCTTCACTGGGTCTTTTCCTCCTGGCACCCAGTGGAGCCTCCGGCGGCCAGTCTACGGTCTCCGCCAGGCACCGCGTGAGTGGCACGACACACTGAGGACTACACTTGCGGCTCTTGGGTTTGCTCCCTCTACTGTCGACCCGTCGCTGTTTCTGCGCACCGACACTTCTTTGCCGCCGTTCTACATCCTCGTGTACGTCGACAACTTGGTCTTTGCCACAGCTGACACTGCTGGACTCGCCCACGTGAAGTCCGAACTGCAGAAGAGACACACGTGCACAGACCTGGGTGAACTGCGCAGCTACCTTTGCTTGCAGATCACCCGGGACAGAGCACGCCGCACCATTACCCTGACTCAGTCACACATGGTGCAGCAGGTCCTTCAGCGCTTCGGCTTCACGTACTCCTCGCTTCAGGCCACTCCTCTGCCTACTCGCCACTCGCTCTCAGCTCTGCCTTCGGATGAGTCCGTAGAGTCGAGTGGCCCGTACCCAGAGCTTGTTGGCTGCCTCATGTACCTGATGACCTGCACACGACCTGACCTTGCATACCCTCTTAGCATTCTCGCACGCTATGTTGCTCCTGGGAGACACCGACCGGAGCACATGGCTGCAGCGAAGAGGGTGTTGCGCTACTTGTGCAGTACGTCTGGCATGGGGCTTGTGCTTGGAGGGCAAAGTCCAGTGGTCCTCACTGGGCACGCAGACGCTTCTTGGGCTGACGACCAGGCTACGCAGCGGTCGTCACAGGGTTACACCTTCAGCCTTGGTTCCGGTTCTGTTTCGTGGCGGGCTACCCGCTCGTCTTCTGTTCTCGGCTCCAGTTGTGAGGCTGAGATCTACGCTGGGGCCATGGCTGCACAGGAGCTTCGCTGGCTCACCTACCTGCTGACTGACCTCGGAGAGCCGCCTCGTTCTCCTCCAGTGCTGTACGTAGACAACAAGGCCATGCTGGC